AAAACACACAAAAATAATTATAAAATAACTCACAAAAATTATAAAAATATCATTTAAAATAGTAAATTTTAGAAATATAGTACCAAATTTTTTTTATCAGTACCAAAGTCAAGTCCAAGTACCTTGATCAATTTTTTGCTCAGTTCAAAGTGGTCTTTGTTGCGTGGAGAACATTTACAAATTGAATCTTATTTTTTTTTAAATAGTTTGTACTGGCCAAACTTTTCACCCTGAGGTTTGAGATTCGAATTTTAGAGTCTACATCAAGACTCAGTAGTTGACCGCTATACTAGGTTAATTAAGTTCGTTCTAGAAAAAAGTAACAAGTATGATCAAGAATCTCATGATATCAGATGTAAAGACCTATCATGATAGTCTCTGGCTAGGGTGGTTCAAGGCAATTTGAAGCCTAAAACAATATCTTTAAATGAGGTCATCTATATTTAGTATAAATTCAATTTTATTGCCATTTGAAATGAAAAAGTACTAATTAAAATTTTATATTCTAGTTTTGTTATTATCTCTTTGTCAATTTATAGTATCGCTAATCCAATTAATGTTTTTGTGACATTGTTGATCATTTTTGTTGGGTATTGGCCAACTTGGCTTGTTATGTTACTATAGAGAGAGAGGGAAAGGAAGAGGGAGAGGGAGAGAGAATGATTTGTAAGTAATGAATTTGATTTTTGAGTTAATAATTTTTTTTCACCATTAATTTTTTTAATTTTTATTTTTTGGGATTTTTAATGTTTGGGTTGAATTATGGGCCTAAATGATTGAATTTAAATTGTTTTTGATTGGGTTTGTGTTTTTATGATGTCTTTTTATAAGGCTTAAAATATTTATGAATTTAATTTTTTTAAATTAACTATTTAAGATATTTAAAATTTTGGGGCCTTCCATAAAAATGGAGTCTAAAGCCCAAATTTTGTTATTTCTACTGTTGAGCTGCCTCTAGTCTTTGGACACCCTCTTTTGCGCCCAACCTGTTTTAACCAGCAAAAACGAAGATCGAACTCCCTAAGAACCACGTGAGCCATAACCTGATCTCCACCTCCACCTCCACCTCCACCTCCACCTCCACCTCCACCAAAGTTGCCAAAAGCATACCGCAGGAATCTCCACGAATTAAACCAAACTTACTAATTATAATAATAAAGTTTTATTTGTAACGAACTTATTAAATTTAATTTTTATGCAACAACATCGAAAAAATTATTTTTCAAAACAAAACTCAAAAATTAGTTCATGTCATAATAAAAATTCATTTGTGATAATATTATCGTTCTTTTTTTTTTCTTGTTCTTATGTCTGTAAATAAATCAAAGTCATAAATAATAATTTCATATGATACTATAATAAAAATAAATTATAAGTCAACGAACTGCTTTTAATATAAACCATATTCGTATGAGTATCCCTATTTTTTTTTTTTTTTAAAAAGTCACTTATTTTTTCAATATGCCATCAAAATAATCCAACAAGCGTCTTTATCAGTACAAGCGACATTTGTCCAAGTGATTACATCTTAAATGGTTACTAAGTATTTAGTCATTGATCTTTTCAAATATATTAAGTGAGATACTTATATATTGAGTGTTTTGAAAAACTAGAGATTAACAATAAAATTTTCTAAAAATATAGAAGAGAGAATGAAATTTTTTAAAATTTGAAGGGGCCTTGGTCCCCCTAGACCTCCTCATAGATTTGTCGGTACGACTTATCACTAAATCACCGGTCCGACTTTGGTTAAGAAAACAAAACTTGCCACTAACTTGATACAATAGAAAGCAGCGTAATACAAAATGAATTCCCTCACAATCCGAGGAAATAAGTACAAGTAGTAAGAAGGTTGGTCTTCATAAGCATTTTTAATGCTTTTTTTCCCTTGGCTTTTTAGATGTAGACTTGATAACATTTGCTTGAAAGAACAAGAGGTTCCCACATTCACACTTGAATATTTCATTAATTTGTTGTATTCTTTCATAAAATTTCCTTCTTATTAACCTATTTAATGAAAATTTTAGTACTTAAACATTAGTTGACTAAAACAATAAACACTGTAATACATTTAACCGACGGTTTATTACCCATAAGCATTCGATAACAAACTTATTTTCACACGAATCACACCCCAACCCCATTTTGGTACAACTCCAACAAAGAAACTTTTAAAATACAAGACACTTAAACTAAAGGAGTTGACTATTCTATTGACAAAAAAAATTCGGTACTATACCTTCAAAATTTATTACTTCAAATAGTATTTTTATAATTTCTTTGAATCATTTTATAATTAAAAAAATTATTATTTTTGTAGTTGATTTACTACTTTTGTGAGTGTTTTTATTATTATTGTGGGTATTTTTATCACATTTGTAATAACTATTTTCACAACTTTTCTTAAATACAAAAAAATTTATCGCTTTTGTGTGTAATTTGTCATATTTATGAGTGTTTTTTTATCATATTTGTGAATTTTTTTATCATTATTATGATATTTATTTTTACTATTTTTTTGATTACCACGAATATGATAAAAGTTAGCACAAATATGAAAATTTTCGGTATACCACGAAAATTTTAAATCTCCCGCAGTCAACTCTTGAAATTACCTCCTTGTCAACTTAGAATTTGGCCACGTCTCTTCTACCTTCAAGTGAATCCATGCCTCTATTCCATCACCACATCTTGTGTCCAAGAACACAACACAACTAGGTTTTTGGATTTAAGGCTAGCCCTTAAGCCGACCCGACCCATATAGGTTTCCCTCCATCCAAAATCAGCTTCATATACAGGAAACCTGCATCAACTAGTAAAGATAACCACCTGTCCCTCATTTTGTTGGCGATGCCGTAACACTCTTCTTCGCTATCCAGGGATGGCACCGTTCTGACGAACCCTCTAATGTTTCCAAAATGACAATCAGACAATGGTGGATCAAACCAGGGCATTATAAGTTTTAGTGAGATCAACGTTTAAAGGCAGTAAACACGAGCTTATTTGTCACAATATTTTCCTTTTATCACTCCAGTGTTTAATTTAAAACGTCAGTTAAATCCATAGGTGGGAAGAGCGTCACACGTTCAAATAGTAGGCATGACATATCGATATTTTCACCAGCAATAACGGCCCAACTTTTAATGAACATGAAACATGACATGGCATCGGCAACCTTGTGAGACATGCCTATAGCAACCGCCATGGCACCACAGTCAAAGAAGGTAACTTGAATGACCGGGCCAAGAACCCTAACATCATCCACTTCATATGGAAGGAACTTGTTGAGTTCACTTGGATTTGCACTGCAAATAAAATCCGAAAGTTGGCTGTACTTGACCCGAGCTTCCACGTATTGCACACACCCACCTGTGCAATCGATATATATGTTGTCTACAATATTTTATATTTTTAACTACTTCGCCACGGCAGCAAAATGTTATTTTAGATGTTCTATTAGAGTAAAATTTTAAGATAAAATAACTAAATTTTGAAGTTTTTTTGTACTTTAGTTACTCTCTTGGAAATGTCATAAAATTTTTAACTCCAAATAATTTTAGTTTTAAATTTTAGACGCACTGTTTCTAATTTATCATATCGTCAAAGATATCTTTTTTATTTTTTGAATTTTCACTGATACCCCTTGTCAGATTAATGATATTAACTAGAATACAATTTTATTAAATTGCCAATAATATACTTTAGAAAAAACTTTATTCACAATCCCTCTATATAGACATATCTTCAATGAGACTCCATTTTTTTTTTGAATTTTTTTACGTATTAAAATTCGGACCAATTAAAATTCGATTCGAACTAATTAAAATTCATTTTTTATGTATTAAAATTCGAATTTTAATCGACTTGAATCAAATTTTAATCAATTTGCTTTGAATTTTAATCGGTTTGAATTTTGATGCATAAAAAAATATAAATTTTAATTGACTCAAATTTTAATACATAAAAAATAAATTTTAATCAACTTGAAATAAATTTTAATTGACACTAATTTTAATAATTAAAAAATATAAATTTTAATCAACTCTAATATTAGTTTAAATTAGTGCTAGCAGTTCAAATTGATCTTAAATCGACTCGAATTTTAATACGTGAAAAAAAAATTTAATAGACTCCATTATTATTATGTACAAAAAATAAAATATAAAAAAATAAATTTTAATCGGTTCAAATTTTAATCGAATTTTATATATAAAGATTATTTGGAGTTTATGTATAGAAAATTTTAGTATTTTAGATGAATTCTTTTTTCTTAGAAACGATAGTTTTACAATAGAGTGTCAGTGATGTTTAAATGTAAACTAGAAGGCGTGTCAGTGATGTTTTAAATAATAACGGAGTATCTTTGAAGATATGATAAACTAGAAAAAATATGACTGAAATTTTCCCTTGATTATATATTATGGACAACCATCCAGTTTTAAAACTTAAAAATAAGATAAATTAAAAAACTAATTGTACATCAAATTTTTTTTGATAAATTTGTTACTAGTTTCAAAGAAAACAATATATTAATAATTGATAAGATATGATAACAAAATTTAAAAATACAATAATTTGATTTTTTTTTTTGAACTAATGAAAAATTTCATTAATATTAAAAAAATTAAAAGGTTCTATTTAAATTTGTTGTATTATGCCTCAATATGTGTGGAAGCGCCATAGTGGTCTCATGGCTTTTCCTTCCACTAGACCCCAAAATTCAATAAATTATATATATAACTTTTAAACTATACCTTATGTCAATTGAGTAACTATTAAACTTTCTAATTGTATAATTAACTTCTTCTATCTTTTTGTGTCATATGATCATGTGATTGACATACTTTAACCGAGGTAAACAAAATAACTCAATTGATATAATTATAGAATTTAGGAATTTAATTGATACAAAAAAGTTTAGAGTCTTAATTAATATAAAAATGATAGTTTGAGGGTTATATAAGTAGTTTAATCAAAAAAATTTGAGGATGTGGATAAGGCTCAGTTGAAAATTTTGGTGATCTGTTTCTTCTCCAACCTTTCGATTCAGACAAAATCCCAGACATTCTTGGATAGAGAGAGAAACCCAGTAAGCCATAGTTGCTGTGGTTGGTGAGCTTGAATAATGGAGGTGGCTATGTCTTTGAATCCACTGGTTCAGCTACGGACATCAGAGTTAAGAACCCACGAAGATGGACTCATCAGACATTCCTTAATCTCGACGAGGATGACCCAGAAGCCTCGACACCAGAGGCCACACCAGCAGATGTTGGTGGTGGAAGCCAAGGGTAAGAAAGGAATGGCGGCACGTCAGTTCCAACGCCCAACTCCTTCTCTCCCCAAGCTTGAAGACGATGGCAACCCTAAGTTCGTCATCTTTATCCGCATGGCCAATGTCAGCTCTCTCACTCTCTCTCTCTCTCGGAAAAATTGCTTCTTTCGATGATTTTAGCTGATGGGTATGAGTAAATATTGCTAATTTTGTAGTTTTTCAACAAATTTTACAATATCTCTATGATTGGTTTCTTTATGTTTTGTTTTGTTAGAGGGGGAAAGATGCTAGTAAGAACTTCATTCTCAAAATGTTTGGATATTTGACATTTAGATGCGTCTACTGCACTATGTGTTCTTCTTTTTTATTCTCTTTCTGTCGTCAATGCTCTGTAATGCATCGTTTATATCTATTATTTGTGGTAGGCATAAGATATAGTAGTGACAGTTAGTTTCAATTTCTAAACACTGGGTGTACAATAATTGTTGAGTCAAGTTGCCCACCCCAGAAATGTTGGAACACGACTTCGAGTTGAATTGGGCGTGCAATAATTCTTTGCAGTTTTTGATCTGTGCTTCATTTTCTGTCAGTTGGAGTTACTGAATTTATTCAGTGCAAAGGTTTTGGTAATATTTTCTTTTTCATGGTTGGGCAGGTTTATCTTTGGTATCCACTTAATCTTGTAACGGGCGGCACCACTGCAAAAATCATGGTTGCAGCAAAGGACAATTTTCTGGGGAAATATATTTACAAGGATACGTTATCTAGGAATCTTGCGGCAGTTATATACAAAGTAAGCTTTGTGATTACTTGGTTTCTTGATTGATTTCTACTCCTTGTTTGAGAATACTCATGAGTTTTGAATTATTAGAAATCTAATTTAGTCTTTTATTTTTGTTTGTAATAGTATAAACTAAAAATTTGCTTTGTTTATTTCAAAATGGAAGATGGCAAAATGAACGATCTTGTACCGACTCAAATTAAAGTATATGTCAAGTTTCTAGTAGTATTCATTGTTCACCCAAGAGTGGACTATTCTCCCCTTGTATATATAGAAAATGTTTGAATTGAAAATAATATCAATATGCCATTTATGTGTTTCAATGCCATATTGAAGGAACCACAAATTTCTTTAATTAATGATGATTGGGAACTAATGATCAAAATTTTGCTTTGGTGTATTGTTTCGGTCACTTAAGAAATGAAAACATTTCGATGTGTTTCGGAAACGTTTTCACCCGTTTTGAAAATAGAATAAAAAAAATAAAAAATTATTTTTTAAAAACATTGGTTGAAATATACTCAAATATCTTGAAATACTTTGAAACATTTTGAAATAATTGTGCAAATGTATTGAAATATACCAAAACTTTTCCAAACATTATGGAACACCTAAAATTATTAGAATTTCGATTCTATAACTGATTTATTTTGGTCTTCTTAGAACCGGAAACGTTTCGGATGTTTCGCCCGTTTTGAAACGATATTTTGTTCCTTGGGAACACATTTTGAAGAATTTATTTCTATGCGTATGAGCTCATCCAAACATATGCATGCAATCAATCAGGGACAAAGGTAGAATTGTTTTTTTGGGGGGGACTAAATCTAATGTAACTGATAATATAAACTAAATATATAGTTTATCAATTCAGATTCTCGAGCCACAAAAACATATCCAACAAAGTAATATATATGATGAAGAAATAAAATAAAGATATGAAAAAAAATTAAAAATGAATAAAAAATAATTTTGAGTATGTATTAACTTAGTCGTATACTTAATCCCTAATACACTTTTTAACAATTTTTTCTACCTACCTAGTTAAAGAGTCTATAACGAAACCATTGCCTAACAAATTGAAAAATCTTCTCTTGAAAACGTTCGACATGATATGATAAAAAACCTAATTCACTATAGCATTTAGATTGACCCTAGACCCCATTAAACATTAAAATTTAGTATTAATTCAACAGTTATAATAAAATTACATCATTAAATTAACAAATTATGTCAAATTTTAAGATCTCAATAGTATTACTCAACATTTTGTTATTAAAGTTGAAGATCAGTACATTCTCTTCATAGAAACTATTTTCTAGATGAGGTCAATTCTCTTGACAATGTCCAAATTTTTTTGCTTAATATTTTACCTGCTGATGTTGGCAAAAGTGTGTGTTTTGGGGGGGGGGGGGGGGGGGGGGGGGTTAGCTGCCCCTGCTTCTATTTATTCTTATTCCTTTTCACGTTGTGAAAAAAAGGTAGTGTTTTTTAAATTAAATTAAACACTTTTAGCATGCCGTGTTTAAATATTCACTGTGGCACTTAATCATGTTTTTCATAGAAATCTTTCCAGGTTATGTTATAGCCTGTAATGTATGTTTATACATATTTACTTTAAATGAACCTACAATGAAGCATGGACACTGCAATTTCTACTCTATAAAGTTACTGTTGCAATTACTATTTTTCCTCTGGTGAATCCAGTTTTTTTGCTGTGGGGGGATGGGGGGAGGACTGTGTGATGCTGTTGGTGAGACTTTCCTGCAAATTTTAAACATTATTTGAATAATGAATTCTCTTTGGAGACAACATTATGGGTGTTAATCGTCTTGAGCCATTGCTTGAATCCCATAACTTGTTATATGGATGTAAATTTCTTTAGTAACACTGTCTACATTTCCCTCTAATGTTGCTCAGAAAATTTTGTATCTGACTGGTGTTTTTGTATTTTTGAAACAGGATGAGAAGGAGATACAAAAGTTGGCATTGAAACAGCACCGTTCTTTGCGGTCAGCTACTGAGTTTAGATATGGCTACAAACTTGTTGTAATATTTCTGCTCTCTATCCACCTTCTATGATATGTTATCTTCTGTGATCTTTTTATCCTTGTCACTAAGGTCAAAGATTTGCATAAAAAAAGAGTGGCACTGCTAGTTTATTCTTAAAATTTTTATGTTCTGAATATGCAGGAAAATAACAATTTGAGAGCAGCACTTTCTAGCAGTGATGTTATTGAGGTAAGCATTGATTATGGATTCTGCTATTCTTGCTTCTTGAGATATAGAGATTAGATTCTTCCAGAAAAATGGAAATTTTTGGTGTAGTAAATGAAGAAATAACAGTCTTCATGTCCTTATCTTCCAAGCGTTGACAGCAAGTACGCAACACTATTTTCAAACAGATTGATCAAAGAAATTGCAATGTGAATATATATTATTCGAAGAAATCATATATCCTCAATTCGTTTCCATGTGTTATTTAGGAAAGGTTGTGTGAATGAAGGATTATGATTATGGAATCACATGCTTATTGGGTAGACGCTGCTAGTTTCTGCATGCAATTGTTCCAACGATTAGCTATTACACTTGATTTATGCTGCCAATTCCAAAATGAACTCATTTTTCTATTCCAGTTGCATGTACGATCCCTCTGCAACGTGCGGATCCTTTGAAAAACTAAATTGTTGGCAAATAGCATGTGTAATGCATTGTTATCAGGTTAAAATATTTGTTTACGGTGTCTCAAAATCTTGTAAGCTTGAGAACATATTGAGAATGGACAGATTCTAACATCTGAAGTTCTCCCCTCAAATTTACTTGGTGCATCCTAGTTTACTTTGAATAATGTGTACACAAGTCTTCAAGATCACTGTGAATGTGTACATCTGTTTTTCAGCACATCCTTGTCCACAAACTTGAACACACACGTACGGTCGTTTATCTTTGGTGCTAGAATGATCTGAACCCTGCTCCCTTCGTGGTTGTTGTTTTCTACCCATATGCTGATACTTGATAGACAGCAAAGTTGTGTGGGTAGCATATTGTTTATTTCACAACCTACCTACTCTCCTTTAGGAAACAAAAATTAAACATTAAAAGTACTCTGGGTAAACTGAAAGATATACACACACACTCTCTTACTGACTATGATGTGGGTGTTGATATGTTTATACTTCATCTTGATAGTAAGAGGGAGGAATACATAAGAATTGTGCAAGACCATGCAAGGATTATTGTCTCTCTGCATGTTTATATATGTCATTATGCAACATTGCTACCACTTAACATCAATCCAATACATCACAATTCTCAGTACTAGTTAGATAACACTCGGTATTACCTTTCCAGTATTTCTAGTGGCAACTCTCTCTCTCTCTCTCTCTCTCTCTCTCTCTCTCTCTCTCTCTCTGTGTGGTTTTGAAAAGAAAATTGCATCTCTTTCCCTTGTGACATTTTCCAAAAAGCTTTACTTATACATTGTGAGGCCTTGAATGGATTTAGAATGCTAGACACTTTACTGTGACAAATCAAAACATAAATAGTTTCCTTCATTTGATGTCTATAAGTGGTTGTCCAGAAATGTAGCTGGTCCCTGCTGTCAGATTGTTAGTTGATTTCTTTAATTTGTCTTTTGTTTTTTCACATATTTCAAAACTACCAATTTACAGCTCCCAACACAAGACCAGCTTAAAACAGTTTTAGATAAAGTGAAGGACTTCTTTGGGGATGCTAAGGAATCTTTTGGGAAGCTGACAGCCCTAAATTCGTCAACTGAGGAGTCCAAAGAAAATTCTGAAGAGAAGTCCAAAGAGAAATCCAAGTAAGCATATGAACTTATTGATAGGGGAAATTTGTACACAACACACGCCTGCACATATATAAAATGAACTTGGTGTGATTATCTTTGACACCATGATGAATATATCATTTGTCAGGGTAAGAGGCTAAAGGTGAAGAAGAATTCGATTGACCTATTGCATTATTAGCTGTTGCTTCGGTGAGATTGTAACTATTCATGCTTTGCGTTACCACTTATCAGCAATACAGTTTGAGGTGTTGTACATGACAATTTTTCTGAGTTTTGTCCATAGATATTTGTTCATCAAGTGGTACTTTTTTTTTTTTCAGTTTGTGACAATGATGCATTACTAAGACCATTGCACAAGGAAAGCATCATAAACGTTTTTGCAAGAGTATCACTGCTATTGTTATCTCCCTTTAACCCATAGTCCTTGGTGGTAGTTTGGATAGGTTTACACGCCGGTTAACCCTTCATCCCTCCTCCAAATGGTCGAACGCTATAATCTTCACTGGCAGCCATATTCCTTACTTCGTCTTGTGCTTTCTTCATAACTCTTGGGTGCCTAGCTACCTCTGCCATTGTCCATTCCTGTGTTGCCGATGTTGTGTCTGTCCCAGCTACAAACAAGTCATGTAATGTATCACACATTCTCTTCAAATTAGCAGCCATTACATGGAAGAAACAGCCTAAATCTAATTTGCCCTTTTCAATCTAACTCAGTGCTGTTTATAAAACGACTGTAACTTTGTCCTGGAAAAAAAAAAAGTCGGTTTAAATGAAAAAGAAACTGAAGCATTGCTGAAGATGATGCGTATTTTATGCCATGCCATTCCATAGCTGTTTGGTTAAATGAGATTATGAACAATTCCAAGGTCCAGGATATGTTCCACTCTCCCTCATGGCATTAGATAGTCATGGGTTCAATTGTTACTCTGCTCTTCCTTTGGGTTTGACAAGCTTACTCGAAGGAAGCGCATGTCACGATTTGCCTATCGGGTTGATCCTAACGAGCCTTAGTACGGTTCACATCCAAAATTTTGTATTTTACTAAGTATATGTAAATGCAAAGATTTTATTTTATTTTTATTTTAGGAATTTTAGCATGGTTGATGGATTGCTTTGCAGTTGCAGACCTACCAAACGACTCTCCTTTCGTGGGCCGGATCAATCCTTAAGGCCTATACGGGCCCAAAGGTGGTCACGACTCACAATCCTATTCACGGGGCTTTGGAGTTAAGGGTATGTCCAATAAAAATTCAAATCTTTAACCAAATTTGAGTAAAAAATTTGATTTAATATATATATCTCTAATGGAGAAACTCAAATTTAAAGGAAGATAAATCTAAATTAAAGTGAGAACAAATTCAATTTTAAAAAAAGGGTAAAATATGACCATTAAATCTTTAAAAGAGTATGAAATTTTACCATTAAAATGAGAACTGAAAATGATTACATGTGAGCGAACATGACAGATTGAGCCAACCCATGACATGAATGATGGACCTTTGAACTTTCGGGCTATCCCTAGGCTGATGGGCTCTTGCAAATGTTTAGGGTAATAGATGGATTGGACTGAGTTGGATTTAAATCCCAAATCAATCTAATGAAATTCCAATATGCCAGATTTATAGAGGAAAAAAAGTAATTTGTGTTAGTCAATCCCTATTTTGGATAATGATTTATGATGTGGTTGGAATATGAATAAACTATAATTTTTTATTAAACATCTAATAACTTTAACGTAAATTAACCATTTTACCTTTGAATCATATACATTCCTATCTCTTTTTTGACTTGAGAATTATTGGTTACCACTTTAATATTGTGAAAAATATAAGAATGCTTATGTATTCACCATACATGCTACTACATGTTGATTTTATAATACAAGTTTATAACTCGATCACAAATTTATTTCATTTACCAAAGATATTAAAAAAATTAGAAAAAAAATCAAAATATACGAGAAAATACTTCACATCCCAAATTCGCATGAATCATAACATTAATTAATTGTGTTTTTTTTAAAAAAAAAAGATGAAAATTTTATTCTCAATCACCAAAAAAATTACAAGAAGCAAAAAGGAAAAACCTTATACAAACCTCCTTCAAAACATATAAAAACAATAAAACTTCTCTCAAACAATTAAAAATTTTATCCAAAATCCCTATACAGTCAATCTGTCTTAATCTTATCATAAAAAATGAGCACATTTTTTACTCTAGCAACTGGCAACCTTTTTTTGGTCCTACAACAACGTCATGTTTGGAGATTTTCAGCAACAAATCAACACATGAAAAAATACGAAATGAACTGATCCTTCACAGCCCTGTTTGCCACAGCATCAGGAACTCCATTCGCTTCTCTATACACATGAAATAATTGTGAATCTATTTTTCCCAACAACTCCTTAATCCTTATAAAAAAACCTTGACAAGACCATGGACACACCATACCATTCTTTACAATTATGCAAATAACTTCTAACAAACAAAAACAAATATGACAAAAAAATTATGCAAATTGGCCAATTCAATTCATGGTTAAACAACCAGGAATAGAAGAAAATACCTCAATGATGGATTGGATTTCGATATGACGATTAGAAATACCTAAAAAATTAAACAAATATTTGTGATTAGATCCTTGAAAAACTAACAATAACACATAGGCCAAAAGTAAACAAAATTGGTATATGTATTTTTTAAGATATGGAAGGAGGTGAAGTCCATGGTCTATTGACTCTTTTGTGTGGGTGATAAGGGAGTTTTTTTGTTATTTATCCTGAAAGGTGTATGTGCATTGGTTTATTTTAGGCGTTTGAGCCTTTGTTTTTGTTTCTTGTAATTAAAGGCCAACAAATAAATCATTTATTTTATATTCAATCCGTAACACAAATTATAGCAAACTTTGCAAATGAACATGTAAACAAGTAAATTTTATTGTTTCACATTTTTAGAAATCTATTTACTTGTAGGTAACAGTATTGAAAAAAAAAAAAATTAAACTAAGTTTCAGGTTTGTTCTATTGTGCCTGATAAGTTTTGTTCAAGCAGTTATTGCAGCCTCATGAGAGCCAATATGATACTGCTAAACAAACCCATCATCTTCGTGCATTTGATCTCAAATAGACAAAAACAATGAAGCACATAAAGCCTCATGAATTCACCAGTATGTTTCTGTTGATTCGGTACATTCGAAAGGCAATATACTATTTTACCATTCGAAAGACAACAGAGTTGTTTTGGTTTAAAAAAAATAGAGATAATAGAAACAAAGAAGAACTGGGTCAAAAAAAAAATGGATAAAATATGAGCATCGAACAACAACGACGCATGACATTGCTCAATAACGTCATCAACAATGGCCCTTCTATCCAGTTGAAACACAAAAAAATCCCCTTCTTTGGGATTTTGCTGGAAGCACGCCTGTTTCACGCCAAAATAATGTCTAAAATTTGTAAATAATAATGGCTAAAATACAGAAGCGGAACTGAGATAAAGAGTGGACGGAAGAGGAGAGAGAGAGGAGAGAGGAATACCTCAAGGGGGACCAGTGGGCACTGTTTACAAACGTGGAGGGGACCAGCTGGTGGGTGAAACGAAGACAAAGGGGTTAAAATCTTAGCATAATTACTGTATATGGGCAATTAGGTAATTTTCCAGCTAATCTAGCCGGTGTACTTAGAAATCCCAAAGTCCAGGTAGAATTTGTGGATCCGGATCAGATAGGATAACTGCCTAATAAAACTACGGCCCAATTATTTCAGCCCAACGATTATCCTGTCCCATGTGGAGTATCCAAAGTTGGGTTTTGTGGACTCCCGACTAATTTTATCCGATCCAACATGTGCTATCCACCTTTATCCTTTAAAACAAACGCACCCTTAGAATATATTTGGATTGAAGGGATAACTCTAGGGACCTGTTTGGTATATTTTTTGGAAGGGGTTTAGATTGCCTTGTCTAAACCCTTTCAAACATAAAGATGAGATTCAACATTTAATGATGTTTATATCCATATTTGGTATATGCAGGGATATATAACTATTATGATAATATATTTGTATATAAATAACTATAGTGTCACTTAACCAATATGCAGTATATAAGATATATGAGGTATAAATATCATTTGGATGTTAAACTCATTAATCCACATATGAAACTCATCCCCTTTCCCATGGGTTTCATGACCGGACCTAAATCGGGTTGGGTTTGAAACTCTGGGTTAGATGTGTATTTGCCAAATATGTAATTGAAGGAGTTTATTCTCCAAACCATGTTCCAAAATCCCCCTCAAACCCACATACCAAATAATTCTAATAGGATAGGATAAAAAAATAGATAAGACTCATATATTCCACATTTAATTAATAAAAAAAGCACTAGAAATTCCAAATTTAATCCCAAGCCGATTTGAAAAGTCATATATGGGTTAAATAAAACTCATGGGAGAACTGGAATATTTTTTTAACAATCAAGATGACTAATTTAAATTACTAAATTACCTTGTTGTGCTACCCCTACTAGGTCAAATAACTTTTGCTTCGTTTCCTCTCTCTCTCTCACACACACACAATGTCTAACGTCAGTTTCTACATCACAGTAGTATAAAAACCATACAGCACACAAAAAAAGTAGGGAGCATTAAACTCAAACCTTCTAAGATTTGTCACTTTAATCACTCATATCTTTTTAATTTTTAAAATATTATACATAAATCCTCTAAAATTTATACAGACTTAACACTTAGACATATATCGTCAATATCTATTAATAATCTGTTAGTGAATTATATCCAAATCTTATGAAATTTATAGACATATAATATTTAGACATTTTAAGTTTAAAATAGTATACTTAAACAAAAAATGCTCTAATTAAATTTTACAATTAGAATTTATATTCTAATGTATCATTTATTGAAATAAAATAAAAAATAAAAAATCGCAATTTATAATACAATTATACTATCTATTAAAATAAAATTAAAAAATCAAACAGGAGGTCTAAGTCATTTATAGTAGAACACGAATTTTACAACCAAAACTCATGTTTTATTATATTATTTATTGAAATAAAATTTAAAATTAAAATCTAATTTTTTTGTAAAAAATCATAATTAGTATACAATTATATTATCTATTAGAATAAAACTACAAAATAAAACAAGGGGTCAAATTGTAATTGACACAATATCTTCTAATTTTAATTGGGGTAATTTGGTTCAAATTAAATTCAATAGATAGTATAATTGTATATTAATTATAATTTTTTAAGAAAAAATTAGATTTTTATTTTTATTTCAATAAATGTAAGTTTTACGTGTGTACAAATTTCAGGAAATCTGTGTGTAATATTATATGACATCATGAAATTTCAGATTTTTTTTTTAAAATTATTTTCCTCCCATAAGTTTCTTAACCCTGTGGTGCATGAAAAAATCTGTCTAGTGCATGGTCATAAAAATGGCACTAAAAATGATTCAATGTACTTTAACCAAGACAAGTGAACAATTTGAAAGTTGATTACACCATCTAAATTATATTGCAATTAGAAATAACAAGTTTTTTTCTAAATATGAAAACTTAACTTTGGCTAGGTTATGCTACTTGGTTATTATCTTATTGGATAATATATGGTACTTGTTTAATTTTTTAAATATTTTATGTTATTAACTTGAATGGCTACAATATAT